TACAAATATGAAGAGGCTGAAATTTTAATTTCTCAAAATTTCATAAAATTAAATATGTGGGAGTAAATCATGTTAAAAAAAAAAAAAAATTTTAAAATTACCCATACTAATGACACAAGAAAAACAAAATTTTGAACATGTTAGAAAGGATTTAAAAAAATTTAATAAAAATAATCAAAAATACCTTGGTCTTAATAATAACAAACATTTTGATGATAAAACCTTGTTTTTATCAGGTTTGGGGCCTTTTTTCATCATGGTATATGCTCTTTTGTTTTTCTTTTTAGAAAATTTTTGGAGGTAGCTATTATTATGTATTTTATGATAGCAGATTATTATACAAGTTTTGACCCATTATTTATTTTGAACTCTCCTACATCACAATTTTCAAACAAGTACAATCATTGCACATTGTTTGTTCAGACTTATCTAATTCCATTTAATAGTGAGTATGAGAGCAACATGACTAAGTAAAATAAGCTGATTATTTTATTTCTAGATTTACAATAATTAACTATCCTCCTGTCATTGAAATCGTTTATTTGCAAAAAGGAGGAATGATATTGCATCTATTGTCCATTTATGCTCATCATAAATACATGCAATATCATTATTTTCAACAAGCATCACATATTTAAAAATACTAGTAAAAAAGTTGGCAAGAACTTCTGCAGTAACTGATACCACCAGTCAGAAGGTGAACAGTTCCTGTACAATTTGGGCACAAAGCCAGTAACAACTATTTTGGAATTATCTCAGCCTCAATCCTGTCTTGTTTATAAAAGTAAGTGTGTATATATATATATATATATATATATATATATATAAAAATCACCCGAATAATTAAAAAATATATATATTTGATTCAGTGGAGAAAGAGAAACTAGTTTGATAAAGTTGATGAAAAAGGACTTGGACTGACCCACTTCCGAAAATCTCATGTCAAAAAAGTTTTTTTGGGAAGTGCCACTTGGACATGAGAACTTTTCAGTACATCCTTGTAAAATCCATAGAATTTATATAAGTATAATACATTAGTCACAAATTTTCATGAAAACACACACATTATATAGTGATATGCTTCAATGATATTTGAAAGCTAAGTGCTAATCATGAATATAAATGTAGGGGCCATGACTTAATAAATACACAAGTTTGTTTAACCAATACTATTGATATAAGCAGTGTGATGAAGTTGGAGTGGGTTTACTACAAGAAATAAAAAAAAAAAAGACTGTAAAATTAAGAGTTTCCAAAAATCAAAGAGGGAAAAATTAAAAAAAAAAAAAAGTTTTCTACATCATTTAGGTGATACTTTGAGCTACATACAACTAATGTTTCCATGATTAAAGGAAGGTCCGTAAAAATTGTTTTGTTATCTCAAACATTCCCATCATCAATTAAGTGTATCCACTATTAATTACAAGAGACAAGATAGGCTTAAGTAATTTTCTAACATTGAAGAAATTTTTTTCAAAAGTTTTTTTATAAAAATTTAGTATAAAAGAAAAGATAAGAAAATGGCGACTTTCACATAACACAATAGTAACCAGTTTTTAAAATCAAATAATTGAATTTTCAAGAATAATTGAAGTATTAAATCTTTATATAGGACTTAAAGCAACTATTTGGATGTTATCTCCTCCTTCCTCAAAAATCACATTTGACAAATAGCAAGTTTTCTATCATTTAAAAATATCATGTATGAAAATGGAAAACTTCAAAACTTCAATTGAATTAGAATTTATCATTTGACTGTCATATAGCACATTTCATTCATTGTAAATAATTATGCATGCCATTATGTGAGAGGTATTTTTGTTGCAGCCTGTACAATTGCATATTGAACATACAGTAGAAGTGACCAGGAATTTAATTCTTAGCATGAAAAAGTGATTATTATAGCATAAAAAATGTTAAAGTAGCAAAAAAGAAATTGATAACTCTTTTTATAGTAACAATTAAATGAAAAATAACTAGGGATCGAAGGAAATCTGGTTGTAATTGTTAAAAAAAAAAAAAAAAAATGAATTGGCAGAGGAGGGTATTGGACAAGCTAAATGAAATATTAGAATATTTTCCACTAGAGGTATAGGATTTCAAACAAGATAAAAAGAGTATAATTTTACATGGTTAAAGTACAATCAAATAGAAAATGTAGTAAACATGATAGTTTATTATATTCATTAACAGTAAGCAAATATATTCAGATTATCCAATGCAAAAATGTTTAAAAACTAATAACATTTTAGAGTTATCCCTTTAAAGTTAAAAACTAGTGATTCTATAAATGTCACACATTCTCCAACCAACCATAAAAATATAATTGAAATAAATCTTAGAGAATACTGAATGTTTTTTTTTTAGCAAAAGTTCATGAACAGGTTTATCTTGCAAATAAATTTTCATATAGCTACTATTCATTTATTTATAATACTGAAGTTGGTGAAACAAAATTAAAAATTCTGCTCAAAAGTTTTTTTCATAATTGAAACGGTTTCAAAACAAAGTTCAGTAAAAGTCTGCTTCTATTTAAAAATGTGACAGGAAACAAATCTATCAGCAATAAGTATGTGCATGAAGTTTGAAAAATTGAGTTAACTTCACATTTGTACACAATGCATCTTCTTATTTCATTAAGAAAAATGTGAACTTTTTTTTTTTTTTTTTACAGTAAAAAAAATCTCATACCGAATATTTCCAGCTTTCCTGGTTTTAGCATTTTCTTACTAGTTCTATTGCTAGACATTTTAAAAACCAATACTACACTTAGATATCTTTCACCACCCAAAAAAGATTTAATATTTTTGACAAAAGTATCTTATGTAAATAGTGGCCTCTCATGAGAAGCAATTTAATATTCTAAGTTGTTTTTAGCAAAACTTGACCGATTGGTTTTCTACAGCTTACCAACTCTTTGCAGGTCATTTAAAGCCGGAAGATATTTTTAGATTCTAAGAATTTTTTTTGCAGATAATAATGGTTTAGTGATACAAGTCTTATAGCTGGTGGGGAAAAGAGGTGAATTCATAACCTTTCCAAGGGTATTTGTGTGTAAATGAATATATAACAAACCCAATTTTGCTCTAACAATTCCAAGCCATTATCCATTACACCACTCACACAAATCACCCATCTAGGTACTGACAAGGCTTGACATTGCTTAACTTTGGTGATGATACAGAAACCAGTGTTTCAACAGGATGTGGCCATAAGCCACTTAATAAAGCAAAACCATTGATATATATCTAACACACACAGTTTGGCAACTGATAAATGTTCACATAGAAGTGGGGCCAAATGAAGATAGCTGTTACTTCATAAACAAAATTGTCAAAATATGCACATATACAATGAAACAACTCTAACCTTACCTTTTGATTCTGAGCAAAATTATTGGTTGAAGTTAAAAAAAATAAATAACATTAACCTATCACAATGAATATATGTTTTAATTTTTACTTATTTCAGAATAAGAATTAGCTGTTGTATTAAGCAGTTTGAATTTATTCAAAAGTTTAATTTTATTTTAAAGGATTAAAAGATTTAATTGAAGATTTCCTTTAACATACTTAAAGGTAATAACTTGACACCTGACTATTTCTTCCACTGTTGAAAGAGGATCTCAAAACATAATGGCAGGAAAGTTAAACATAGAAATCAGCTTTTTTTTTTTTTTAAATAAATAAGTTAAAATTTGAAAGCTTTGTATTTAATTAACCAAGAGCAAAATGAGTAAAAGTAAAAACAATAGGGGTCAATAATATTCTTTGGTTTATCTTTAAAAAGATACAACTAATTTGTGTCAAAATTTTTGACAAAGAATTATTATATGCTTTTTCATTTGAACTAATATACTCACTTTAGTTATTATAAACACATTTCAACTATTGTACCCTCCAGCCTTCTTTAAGTGTTTATTATACTTGGTAATGTTAATCAGACTTTTGAGTCAAATGGGAATTGTTTTCATTCTGCTTTCCATGCTTAGAAGATATTTTTTTATCAGTTCTCTCTCGTCTGCTTGTCTGTGTCATTTGTCCTTTTCTTCCGCTGATTTTTCTATACAACCTAACAGAGATGGAACTTACAATTACCAGAAAACCAAATATGTTTGAACCAACACTGTAATTCACTAGGCATATGTCTTTTGGACAATCCATTTGTGGAATTTTTTTAGTGTTTGATGGAAGACACAGGGGTGAAAAGACTAGAGATCATGAACTAATATGAGATATTCTCTATACATGGAAAGTAAAAGGCAGAACAATCTACCCCTGTGGATTAAAAAAAGGGTTTTGTTCAAAATTCTGAGACAATTACAGAGTAGAACAGACATTTGAAAAAGTCCAGAAGATACTGGGGCCAAAACATTGTGAGTATAGCAAACCTAGATGATTATACTAGTCAGCATGTAAAAGCATATAATAAAAAAAAACTTTATTCTGCCAATCATGTTCCTGTATGTATTATGGAAAGTTAACATTAATAGCAACATATGCTCTACACATTCAATCCTTCTCTCTGAAGGAACATGAATCATAAATTTAATTTTTTTTTTAAAATGAAGATCTGTTTAAAAATGAGTAGCTATATGATAAATCAAACTTTATATAATGTTTATTAATACTGAGCAAGTAGATTTTCCTTATTTTTAATATAAGTATAATCATCATACAACAGTTAAAAGAATGCCATAAACTTAATCAAAATAAATTAGGTTCTCATTTGTATTCATTGAACTGAAGCACAAGACAAATGATTAGTTGTGTATCCAACATAAAGAGTTATCAGCAGCATGACTGGTTGCTGTTTTATTTGTGTACCAAGCAATACTACCTGTGTATAAATTACCAAGAGAGAAAGAGAAGATACATAGACAAGCCAAACATTCTAAGTAATCAATGCAAATAAAAATAGCCAGATTACACCAACTTTAAACCTACTGGTGATCTTACAATCATCTTCCATCACAACTATCAATACAAAAAATAACTTACCACTTATAACAATATTCTAATAGGTTTAACAGGGAACCATCATGATAAATGCACTGAAAGAAAAAGAAATTACATGTAAGAAAAAAAAAATTGTTAAAAACAGCAATGAGTGAATTTTTAAAAATGGAACAAACAATGAGTATGTATAAAAATATAAATATTATTTATAGAACAAATTTTAAAATCTTCAGACATAAATAAAACTGGATAAGGGAAAATATTGAAAAATTTAGTATGAAATTTGCTTGAAGAGATTCAAGTGCCATCATCATTTTATTATACACACATTTGACAAGTACAAGCCAGGAGGTGTAGAATGAAAGATTACATCATAGTACAAATGATCTCTAATTGATTTTTCTTTAAGTGACATAGCCTCTAATATATGAGAACAGATTCTTGTAACATCTACACTTATGAAACATTTGTAAAAGAATATTATACTGCATAAAAAAAAATTGACATCTTAAACAAAATTTGTACAAATTTCATGCAAAGTAAAAACATTTTTAAAACAAAATTTTTATCCAATATGTTATGTACTTGGTCAACCATAAACTTTTTCAATATTAAAATAAAAGTTACTGTAGAAGAATTGTAATGTTTTGATTGAAATAGGCATAACCAGTTAAAGAAAGTGAAAAGTAAAACTTCCAGAGAAAGGTGATGTAAAAAAAGCTTCTTGGAATAATTTTTTTTTCCTTTTTTGTCAGACAGAAAATTTTATTCCAAGTTTTATTGCCACATGTTCCAGGGTCAGTCTTTAATAGAATAAAACAAAACTAATCTTCATATAAAAAATTATTTAAAGAGAGAGAGAAAACATTGATTAAGTAACATTTTCGATTTTATAAAAATCCTTCAGATTGGTTTTCAAAAAATAAGCAGATTAGGTTTGTAATAAAAAAAAAGACTAATGAAAATTATATTGATTTTCTACCCAAACTGGCTACACTGAGAAAACAAAAAAAATTTTTTCTATAAAAATAAATTAACATATAAATTTAGAAAAATGTAAGATGGAGGTAAAGGAATGAAGAATTTAAAATGACTTGTTTAATTGTTTAAAATTAAGATATTTGTTATAAAGTCAATTTTTCGAAGAAAATATTGACATATAATGAAAAGCTTAAAGCTTTAATTGCTAGATATTAAAAAAGGGATACCAACCATGAAGAAAAGCATGCAATTTCAAGATTTCTTGAACTACAGACTATAAAAACAACACTAAGTAATGTAGAGATAGTAATATAACCATTTGGTTATGGTTGATCAAATAATAGTACCAGATTTCCTGAGAGAAAAAATTCAGATTTCATTGGGAATAAGGGATTGCACCAAAATGGGAGAATATCTAGACTCACAAGAATTTAGTAAAAACCTGAAAACAAAAGGATAATTTTTTTTTCTAATAAATAAAACATCTTTGATTCTAGGAAATACAGTAATGCATTTGATTACCTTGTTCTACAGACAATTCTCAAATAGTAATAGTAATATTAGTATTTCCTCATAAGGAAACACTCACCATTCATTAACTGAGCAGTTGAAATTTATAAAATCTTTCTCCTGAAACAATTTTTCAGGAAAATAGGTTTCTAAAGTCCAGTGCTATCATACTTTCCAGTACTGAGGGGGGAAGAAACTTCCTAACCTTTTGTTTGACAGCATCTCATATTCTATATGAGAAGTGTAAGCTTACTTTGGCTTTATACAGTTAGAAGATGATCCAAGTTGAATTAATTATAGATTAATCTCAATTTTTTTAAAGCAGACTTTGTTGTTTCATGGATATACATAGATTTTCCAAAGAAAAAGATCCATATTATATAAGAAAAAAAGTCAAGCATATTTCTTTAATAAGAGAGGCAAGATGTATGTTAAGACTACCAGGTTTCAATGATTAAATAAATTCTTAAATAAAAAGATACAAAGTTAATCAGAATTTAAGAATAAGAGGAAATCTGGTCAAAATAGCAAAAGGATAGATTTTAAAATATTAAGTCATGAGAATTTAGTAATCGGTTAGTCTAATTTGACCAGTTTCATTTGAATTATCCAGAAATATTTGTGAGATCAAGTTGACAATATGAAAGTAACCTGTTAAAGATATCACTAACTTAAGTTTGCAAAAAGCTTTTTGTGCTGTGGTTGCTGTAAAGTTAGTAATTATTCATTTAAAGGGGATCCAATTCTATCATAAATTGTCAAAAGAAATACATTGTTAAAAACAAAAAACATTTTAATGCCAAAATATGTTAGTAATGTCACAACTTTTAAAGTAGATACAGCATTCAACTTAAACACTTTTGTGAGTGGAAAAAAAAAAGACTTCCCCAAACAAAAATTAACTTGTTCAATGTAACAGAGCTTCAAATTTGTATTTTTTTTATTTAAATTGAATTTCTAAACAGTTCTTTTTTTCAGCACCTATAACAAATTATCTACAAGAGATTTTAATACTTTATGCAATCTTATCCATTTAATCTTAATAATGAATGATGTTAAAACTTCTTGTCAATATTCTTCTAGTCATTAAGTATTGAAAAGTCAGGTCAAAATTGTATAGTATAAATACCATTAGTATAACAAATATGAAAAATATAACAGGCACAAACCAGAAAATTTTGCTTTTCAATGATCAAAGCAATCAATATTATATACAGATTAGAAATAAATCTTTTTCATCTTATAAGCCTAATCAATACACGAAGCAACCTATCTCAAACAATATTTCTGTATAATCAATAAAGTGTAAAAAAGAAAAAAAAACACAACTCTTTCAAAGTCATGATTTCATATTTTATTACTATTATATCTTGGATATTTCTAAAATGTCTTAAAAAAAGTTATATACAAAAAATAAATTGAAAGGAGAAAATAACTTTAGCCTTTATGAATGATAACAATGAATTAATTTAACAATGATGTGTATGAAAAGTTGAAAAATAATTGATATATTACACATTTGAGAATTTTTTAAAAAAATAGTCTTTCAACATACTACTACAATTCTATTTCATTTGACATTCTTTCTCTGGTTCACTTTTTTTCATTGATGTTGTTTTAAACTTTGTTCACTTTTTAACTTAATATCTTAAAATGGAAATTTCTAAATTAAAATGATAAAAAAGCTGAAATTTTATTTATCAAAGTCTGAATTTAATCACTCCATGCAAAGAAAATGTTGCCCTATTACCATAAAAGTGTAATTTATAAGTCTGAAAAGTCTCTTTAAATTTGCCCAAACACTATCACTATAGTCAAGATGACTGAATTAAGTTCATCTTTTCAATTAGTGCAATACTGATTTTCCTAACAATTTCACAACCACTTTAGAACTGTAACTAGTTTTACTAACATTTCATACTTTGCCATGAATTCTTAATCATCAATTGTTATACTGACCACCAAGCCATACTTGTGGAATATATACAATTAATTTACCCATTGTTTTACTGTAAACATTGATTGGCTATAAGCTGATAAACAAAACTACATTTTTTCTATAAACTACATTATCTTAAAGACAAAATCCTTATTAATTCAAATTAATCTATATACTTCAAACTTTCTCCTGATTGAAGAAATGTTTTCATATATTTGTTAAACCTACCAAACTTTGTGTAATAAAAAAATGTTTAAATAAGTTTGTAAACATTTGACACTTATCAAAGTTACTTTCCAAATACAAATCTTAAAATGCATTCCAATGTTAATATTTGTTAATTTCCATTTGCTAACAATAAGCATGAGACCAGAATACTTCAGCAAGTAAATATTTCCTTGTGTAAGCAAATAGCAACAACTAATGAGCAAGCCTGAGAGGAACAAATGATAAAAGGAATTCAAACAAAACATTTCTACTTTCAGTGTACTTTTTATGAATTACATGGGAAATTCAATTAGACAAACTAATTGCTGCAATTCATTGCTCATGCAAATTATACTAAGTTATATCTGGCAAAAAGAATATGGATTAATTTTGATTTAGCAAGAATAAAGGCTTGTTGCATATATGGCACTAGAGTACTTGAAATCTATGTCATCTGCAACAAGGTATTGAAATGTTCTCACTTCCCAAACTCTAACCAAAATGACCAAGCATCAAATTTTTGGAAAAAAGGGCTTAGTCAATTTCAAAACCACATCATATTATTAGTGTACTTTCTAATTTGGGAAGTAATTAAAAGCTAATTCATTATGCAAATTTAAATATGGTTTGCTCATATAACATTTTTGGTACTTAGACTTGAAATCTTAAATTTAATTTCAATATAGTATTTTTAATATATTTCAGTTTTAAGTGGTGTTCTTTTATTGATAACAATTTTCACTATTAGTAGAAATAAGGATACACCTAAATCCTAATCAAGTCATTTAATGTCCTAAAGTAACTATCCTTATATTCAATAAACAAAACAAACTTGCTAAGAATTTATCCAGTTTATTGTGGTACTAATTAATAATTTTCTGCTATCAGTCAAGATGTCGCATATAAACATGCTCAATAGATTTTGTTACTACAAAAAAAAAAAATCAACAGGCCATGCAATACTAATGTACATAAAGTATCATTTTAAGCATTGGGTGATTTAAAAAAGTGCATTTACAGACTATTAAACTCATTGCTCACATTTAATGTTCTTCGATAATGAAAAAATGATCAATGCCTGCTCTTTGCTTTTAAATAAAAAAAAATTAAAAGCAACAAATACTGGAAGTAAAAAAGATTTCAACATAAAAGGTAAATAATATTCATGTGGTGCTAAACTGAAACCATTAAAAGGAAATAAAGTATAATTCAAAAGTTAAATTGCTACTACCAAAATACTTAATATTCTGAAATTATTCTGAAGGAAGAAGATTTTGTATGCTTTAAGCTCAAGAATAACAGCTTCAGTATATTTGTAAGCCTACTTCAAAATTGATTAATACAGAAATTGATAAACAAAGCTAAGCCATGTTTTGTACCAAGAAATATTACTATTTGAATATAAAGACACTGTTAGTAAAAACAGTATCACCAAAATGAAACTATCATCAGTAATTC